TCAGTTAGCCGTTACCTTCAGTTACCTTCAGTTAACTTCAGTTAGCTCCAGTTACGAGAGTTCAGCACGAAGGACAGCTCCCGACGGTAACTTAACTTAACTTAACTTACATCTGTTCTCACTGGAGGTTTAAACTTATTTAACTCGTTACCCATTATATATATGTTATATGTTATATTTAAAAACACTTCTATCTATGTAAAATTATATTTATATTAATATTTATTCACCCACACACATTGTAAGTCATAAGAGTTATTATAGTTTTTCATAAGTTTTATTTTAATTTCGTTTCCATTTAATTCACTTAGTTTGATTTAGTTTCCAGAGTGAATTTGCTAGTTTCAGTTTCTTTATTTTTTCATATTTTAGTTTTAGTTTCTACTTTTATTAGTTTCAGTTTTTTTTTTTAATTAGGCTATTAACGTTATATAATGCAAGGTATTTGTCCGGGGCAAGATTTAAGAAGTTCAGAATAGGTATTATAATACAACCAGTGAATGTGAATGTAATGTTTACTCACCGATGCTTCTTTGGAAGGTTTTGGTGCTTCATCATCCATGAACTTCACCACCAGGATATCAGAAAATGGATCCTCTCCCTCAGATCTAACACAGGAGGACGTAGAGAGTCTACAGATTGAACTATCAAAGGTTATTCATCACAATATACTTTAACGTAAACTGAATAAAGTTCATACGTTCGACAGCAACCTGTCACTTTCTCTCTCTCTCTACTGATTAAAACTGTTTTTGTGGTTTTTCTCCCACATAGATGGAGGATGAGATTCAGACCCTGCGGCAGGTTCTGTTGGTCAAAGAGAGAAATGCCGCAGACATCAGGAGGCAGCTGGGAATGAGTCCTCTCAGCAACATCAAACAGAACCTGTCCAAAGGCTGGCAGGACATCCAGACCTCGGCGCCGTAAGTTGCACGTGTAGACAGATGGTGAAAAACTCCACCGCACACCTCTGTACTTTAACCTGGTGTTACAGTTTGTCTCCGTTGGTTTGGCTCATTTCTCGAAACAGGAATTACATTCTCAAAACTCTAAAGATCGTTTGGTCTTAAAGCGCATATCTCTCCCAAAACAGTTCACTCATGTGTCAAAACTAAATTTCTTTCTCATATAAATAGTCAGTACCTCCAAAATGCATCGTCCCTTTGGCATTGTGTGAGCACTCTCTTTGGCAAAGATGTACTGATACATTTGCAGTGTGATGAAATCAATGAGAAGTGGTTTGGAGGTTTAATGTAGTTTTGAGAATGTAATTTCTGTTTCAAGAAATGATCCGAACCAACGGAGAAAAACTGTAAAACTGGCAGAACGTTCGTCACGTATTGTCTCTGTGCGACACGATTACATAACGGAAAGCACACTGACGACCTGTGACTGCCGTGATCTCGCTTTTACGTCGGGGGGTTAAATAATCTGCCGTCTTCTCCTGCTCTCCTTTCAGATATCTCTCAGCCTCGGCCACTTTGGAGGACATCAGCCGCTCCGACATGTGAGTGTTCGTCGTCAGGTTTACGTCCGATCCTTACGTCCGAACGTTTCATGCCGCAGAGGGTTTCCCAGCGTTGTTTCTTTTTCCGTCCTGTGCTCACATGTTAAAAAGGGATCTCGTCTAAGGAACAAGTGATGGGATTTTCCAGGTCAAATAGGATCGGTGCCCTGTTAACAGCCTTACAGCCTGACTTAGCACAAGGAGCAGCGGTATTACCACAACGGCCTGAAGCGCTTGTTCGAAAGCCAGATGGACCGTAGCCGCCGTCGTACGTGGGCCTGTTGTTAACTGTTTAATCTCTGTTGTTTGTGCTCTCCTGTTTCCTTCAACCTGTAGTTATGTGAAGACACGGGACAGTCTCTCTCACGCAGGCCAGGTGACATCTTCCACGCTGTCCACTGTGGGCGTGGCCCTCACCAGGAGACTGGCAGAGATGAGGTATCCTCGGGATCGACCCCGGATCCAACCTCCTAATTTCCAACAAGAAAACAAAACAAAAAAACTGTTTTATTTGTTACAGAAATGATGAGTAGAAAAACTAAATGAGCAGAGCTTGAGATCGTAGTTTCTATCAAACTCTGCATGTTAATAGTGCAGAAGCTCCCGTTTGAGAAAATCTGTCTTTGGCTAATTCAGACAGACAGATGGAGTCTCCACAAGTAGACAACATGTCAGGACGATGGTTTAAAATGCAAACTGGAAGAGCAAACTAATACATTTAACAAATATTCTAAGAGAAAATAATATAATAAAACCACGTTTTGTCTTTCAGATTTCATTACTTTTTGTTTCTGTCTGCATGGAGCTGAACAACAGAACTAAAACATTGGTTTAATTTACCATTTTCAGTGTAAGAACAGCACAGTCACTGTAATAACTGTTAATAGCACAATAGAATAGGACTTTGTACATTTAACCATATTTTCATTTGATAATCATAACTACACAGTTATTTGTAAGTATCATATTATATCTCTAACCAGTGTTCATATTCTACATTTTACTGAAAACAACAACACATCACACTGAGCTGTTTGAGCATCGATGCTCTGCAGTGGTGGAAGAAACACTGAGACCTTTTACTTAAATGAAAGTGCCAAAACCTCAGTGTAGAAATACTCAAGTACAAACCGTCTGTTCAAAATCTGACCTGAGTAAAAGTACAGATTTAGCATTAAAACATCCAAAGAGCTAAAACAACAATGTCAAAGCATCAAGGAGTAGAAACTACTGAATTTGTCAACAAAATATGCCTATTATTATCTATTATTATTTATTTTTATGATAATATACAATATAGACAGAGAACTGTATAAAAAGTTTTTTTTTTTTAATCAGGAAAACTCATTTTTAATGTAAAATGTACACAAATGTATCCAAAATCTCAAATTTTACACAAACTTACTACTTATTATTTATTGCCGTTACTATTTAGGTTAATTGTACAAAGTATCAGTCGTTCTGTACTGTTACTGTTATACATTTAATAAAATAATTATGTATCCATAAAACTATGTCACTTAGTAAAAGGTTTATTTCCATCAAAGAACAGTTTTCACCACTGACGCTGAAGAACAACAAACAACTACTGAAGAACCAATTTTTAAAAGGACGCGTGTTTTGAACTCGAAGGCCTCCTCGGCTCGTGTTTTAGTTTAGCGAGTAAACAACCGTAATTCAATCACACTAGTACAGCTGGACATCAGCAGCAGGAGCTGATGAGTCTGTTGTTCTCATCCATGTGGAAACTGTAGTGACGTTATCTGTGTGTCTGTCTTTATCTCCACAGAGCTCTGCCTCTCCCGAGCCCACCACGGTAAGATCTGTGAGTGTGTGTGTGTGT